CGTGACAAGGATAATGGCAGTGACAGCTTTAGCTCACGTTTGCTAAGTGCTCCATGTGACCGGCACCAGGGAGGCCTCACAAGGGCTCTGTGAGGCCGGTGGTCCTTTTCTGGTGTTGTTAACAAAAAATCTCCAGGTAGAGAGAATAGACCCACATATATGCCCTCATTCCAACTGCACCATTTCAAGACGTTGTCACACTTGTTTTCGCTCATTTCATCTTTCTTTCTTTCTGTTTCTTTTAAATTAAGTATATTAAAGCAAATCCCAGACATCATGTCATTTCACCCTCGTGTGCTTTAGCATGTACGTTTGAAAAATAGAGATACTTTCTTACATAACCGCAAAGCCATTACCACATCCAAAAAAAGTGAATGATAATTCCTTGGTGCTATCTAAAACTTGGCCCATGACATGGATGCTCTTATTGCCCCCATTTGACAGAGGAGGACACAGAGACTCTGGGGGGACAAGTAACTTGGTCCCAGGTCACACAGCTTCATAGTGACGGGGATGGGATTTGAGCCCAGGGAGTCTGACTTGGGAGCCCACCACTAAATCTTAGTTTCCCTCTCTGTAAAGTGAGGGATAACGAGGACTTCTTTGTTACTTCACGGGATAATGGGTGAGTGGACCATGTCGTTCTTGCTTCTAACAATAACAATGAAAATAATAATGAAAGAAAGCAATCAGAAGAATCATTAGAATGTTGGCCTGATTGTAAGGGAATATGACAACTAAAGGAAATTAAGGTTTGCTGAGTCCCCACTCCTCTGTCAGCTCTCCCTCATCTCATTGAATCTTTACCCCAATCCTGTTTCTTTTTTTTTTTTCTTTTTTTTCCCAATCCTGTTTTTTAATTACCAGCTTCATTTTACAGGTGAGGGACCCAGGGACTCAGAGGGGGTAAGTGCCACCCCAAGGTCAGGCCACTGGCAGTGGCCAGGCTGGTCTACTGGGGGTGGCAGAAAAGCCTGAGGTATGTCAGAAGCTGAAGGTGGCCTTTGCTAAAGGCTTTGGAGCATTCCATCTCCACGGGGAATGTGCCAGTTGAGATCACTTCTCACAAGCAACAGAAATCCCCTTTGGTGGTCTTAGGCAGGATAGCATTTTACTGTAACGATATGGGACGGCTCACAGAATGGATTGTAAGGAGGAAGGCAGGCTGGGAAAAAGATGAGCCTGCAGCAGCCCTAGGACTTGGAAGCCACAGCTGCTCAGAGGGTCCATCTGGGCTCCACTTCTGACTCTGCTTTGACGTGCTTTCCAAGACCCAGAACCCTGGGGCAGACTCCAAGGCACCCAGCATGGGTGGCATGGCCCCTGCCCACCATGGCTGGGAGAGTGTGGCATTTTTCTGGAAGGTGTGAATGCTGGGCCATGCCAGCGTTTTTTAAAGGAGTGAAGTGGGGAGGGAGCTCGAGGGGATTCCCCAGAGAAGACTCAGCCGGCTCTGGTTTTCACACGTAATTTTGCTTCTGATCCTGGGAGTGTGAGTCACATGTGAAAGTCTCTTGTTTGGCGAGGCCTGTGTCTGCGCGGCCACCACCCTCAGTTAGCTGCCACCTCAAGGCAGGAGGCCCAGGTATGGGCAGGACTCCCCGTCTGCCACCGGCTGCTGCAGCTATGGGAGCAAGGCATTAGGGACTCTAACTTTTGGGCCCAGTGCCCAGGGGGATTTTCCATCCTATGCATTACGTGAAAATAGAATGCAAATGATACGTAAATGAGCCAGTGCCCTAGAAGCCCTTCCGCTGGGTAAAGATGTGAAGGGGCTGAGGAGGGGCTCGGGCTGGTCTGTGCCTTCCAGAAAATGCTCGATCCTCTCGCCCCCAGGGAGAGCCACAGCCTCGGGCAGATCCACCGCTGCCTCCTCCTCCTGCAGGAAACCTGCCTAGCTATCGCCACGGTCTGTACCCCTGGGCACGTAGTACTCCCCAGGGGCCTCAAATCCTTAGGAGAAGCCGGTGGCACGTCAAGTCTCAACAAATAAAAAGGGTCCTGCTGCTTCTGTTTTCTCCGCCTGTGGCCCATGCACGGGGCTGGGCACACAGGGCCTACTGGATTGACCCAGGGCCAGCCAAGAGGCCAGGCTGTACCAGCAAGGCCTGGGAGAGGAGGGATGGCCCTCTTCCCGCTCAGCCTCAACCCCTGGGTCTGGCCCACAGCTTCTGGTGAGACAAGGAAGCTGGCTGGAAAGGCTGACTCCAGGGCGGGGGTGTGGGGGCTGCTTAGCAGTTGGCAGAGACCCAGCAGACTCCCCGGATACAATGTCCTCCTCCATCAAGGCTGTGCCGGGCTGATCAGATGGGAAAGTAAGCCAATGGGGGAAGTGGAGAAGCAGGTGGTGAGAGGGACCCCAAGGGCCCCAGCCTCTTCACCGTATATCTGAAGGGAGACTCCAGGGCCCTGAGAATCAGGAAAGTTTTAACTTCTGGGAAGTCAAAAGGCAGGTCCCCTCGAAGGTTAATTCTGTGGCAACCAGAGGGCAGGCCAGGAGAGTCCGTCCCCCAAGCCAGGCCCAGCCAGATGCCTTTTTCTAGTGGCCCAAATTACAGTCCTCCCCAAAGCCCTCCTTCTCAGAGTCTGGGCTCAGCCTGAAGCACGCCAGGCTCTGACTGGTAAATTTCAGTGAATTCTGTCTTTCCTGCCTGTCTCTCTATGTCCCTTCCCCCCTCCCTTCCCGCCCACCATCCTCTCTTCCTGAGGCTCTGTTTCTCCTCTGTCTTCGGGTCTCCCCCTTCCCTCCCCGGCCCCCAACCTCGGGCAGCCCCAGCAGCGCCTGACCTCCTTGTTCATCACACTGCAGGATCTGAGCCTAGAGCACAGCGTGCTTGCTCACTGCCCCTGAATAGGCTTAGGCAGCACCATCACACGCCTTAAAACACAGCTTTAAATCCAGAGCAGGCTGGCCGGGTTATTTTCCTGTCTGTTATAGATTAAAATTTGGCACCTTTGGACTTGGCCCCCTCCCCAGTGCCTCCATCTGAGCCTTCAGGGGTGAGGGTAGGCCCTGGGCTGGCCCTGGTTACCACGACCTTAACCCGCTCCTTGTGCAGGCTGCAGACAGCGCCCATGACACTATCAGGCCAAGCTCCTGCAAGAAAGCTTCAGGAGCCTGGAGCCAAGGATCCTCCCGTGACGAAGATGGGGCTGGTGGTCAGGGCCATGCAGGGTATCACCATCTGTCTGGACACAGAGGGCTGCAGGGTGAGAGGGGGTTGGTGCATGAGAAAGGAATCCCTGGTGTTGGCCAGACCTGTCCTGTTTGGGTCCCCATGGGAAAGCCCCCAGCTACCTGGGCCACGGTTGCAGGAAAAATGAGACAGTTGCCTCCTATGGGACCAAGCCCCCCGCAGCCACTAGACTGACCTCTCCAGGGTGAACCCAGGGGGCTGCGGGCTCTAGGAATAGGTGGCTTCCCTATGCGGTGCCTGGCCACGACTGCAAACACGCCCTCACCATTTCATCATCCACAGATTTTTTGATTTTTTGATTTTTTAAAAGATTTTATTTATTTATTTGAGAGAGAGAATGAGAGATAGCACGAGAGGTAAGAGGGTCAGAGGGAGAAGCAGACTCCCTGCCGAGCAGGGAGCCCGATGTGGGACTCGATCCCAGGACTCTGGGATCATGACCTGAGCCAAAGGCAGTCGCTTAACCAACTGAGCCACCCAGGCGCCCTCTTTTTTTTTTTTTTTTAAGATTTTTTATTTCTTTATTTGAGAGACAGAGCATGAGGAGGGGGGAGGAGGCAGAGGGAGAGGGAGAAGCAGACTCCCCACTGAGCAGGGAGCCCTATGTGAGGCTCAATCCCAGGACCCTGAGATCATGACCTGAGCCGAAGGCAGTCGCTTAACCAACTGAGCCACCCAGGCGCCCCAAAGATTTTTTTAAAAAAGAGTTTTGTGTTGTGGCTGTTCTGGGTGAAGTCTTAACGATCTGATTTTAAAAGCCTTTCCCCTGCTGCACACTCTGTGAGTTACCATAGAGATACTTTAGAGGCAGAGCAGACTTAATGAGCTCGGTTGGGCCTTTTGTGTTCCTGAATGTTTTCCATTTCTGAGCCCTTAACATATAATTAGAGAGATTATTTAGCATGGACGTTTTCTTTTATTGTAAATTAATTTCAAAACCAAGTTCTGAGGTTAAATAATGATTGTATTTGTTAATCAATCCAACCTGGATTTCCTTCCCAAAGAAAACAGGAGGCCATTGTCAAAATGTTGGGAACAGGATGTTTGAGAGTTTGGGGGTTTCATTTATGGCAGTGATGTTAAGGCTCCTGGCAGTCAGTACTTATCTGCGCTGATGTCTTTTTATTAGACAGGAATGTGTTCTGGGAGGAGGTGAAACTGGAGATGCTTTTGGGATGGGGTCCTGGGGGTCCCGTGATCCTCCAGCGACGGCCTGGGCCCCCGGAGAGTCACAGCTTCCAGAGAGGGGCCTGCCAGCACCTTGGCCAGGCCGCAGGTTGGGGAGCCCACAAAGGTCTAACCGAACGTGGTAGGTGGATGAGAAGGGCTTGCCTCAGGGAGGCGGTGGGACAGGCTCCAGCAGCTTGAGGGCCTCATGCCTCTCCAGCCCTGTTTCCCTGTCAGAGTAAGTGCCACTGTTTTTCTCAGGGTTCCTCAGTCTTGCTACTACTGACATTTTTTGGCCAGACGACTCTTTGTTGTGGGGACTGTCCTGTGCGTTGTAAGATGGTTAGCAACATTCTGATGGCGGCCTCACTAGATTCTGGTAACACGCGCACCCCTCCCTCACTGTTGTTATACCAAAATTACCTCTGCATGTTATCAGAGGTCCCTTTCTGGACACATTCAGCCCCAGTTGCGAACCACCGAGTTAAAAAGTAATACATATTTATTGTAGAAAATAAGATAGAAATAATCTGGAATTCCAGGATCCAGCGTGAACCCCTGTTAAGCTTTGGTGTACTTCTTTGCAGAACTTCTCACGCATGCGTGTATGCGTTTTTGCTTTTTCATGAAACCCAGGCCACAGAGCGTGCAGCTGTGGAACTTGCCAGGGCACGGGCTGCCAGGGATCGTCGCCCTCGTTGCTTCATCTACCGTGCCGTGCCTTCTTCTCAAGCTCTGTCGGAAGCTCCCCTCTTCAGTCACGGCGGGCTGGAGGGCCTGGAAGTGTGGTGTGACGCTCAGCAGATTCTCATGGTCAGCTTTAGGGGTCCAGGGACCAATGTGATCATTCGCTCAGGGCTGATCTGCGGGGACTGACACACGCTCACACTAGCGCACCGCTTACAATCAAGTCACCCCAGCCCCGTTTCCGCCTGGCCCAGAGCCCGGGCTCTGCCCCACGGGGCCTTGTGTTTTAGTGGTCAGGCCTGGCAGAGAGCCCACCTCACAAGGAGGGAGATGCAGGGTGGGCCAAGGCAATCGGGAGCTCTCAAGTGCCAGGCAGCAGCGGGAGGAGGGTTCTGCCCAGGTGACGGATTGTGGCCCCTCTGAGGGTTGGACAGAAGCAAGACACTTTCTCAGGGAAAATACCCACATCTGCCAATTTCTGCATGCGATTCCGTAGACCCCAAGTTAGGAACTTCTGAGGGCAGGGATTTTCCTGGGGACTTGTGGTGACCTAGAATCTTAATCTCTCTCTTCCAGGAATATTTGTCAAGGCCCTGGGAAGGCTCTGACCTCGCACAGGGCAGGACCTCCCTCCCAGAACAGGCAGCATCAGTCACAGGCAGTGGACGGATGGATGGGTAGAGGATGGGTGCACGGATGCCTGGGCCTTGAGAACCGGGACCAAGAGCTGAGCTTCTCCCAGGAGCACGGTGACCAAAGCCAGCATTGGCTGAGCCTGTATTATGGGCTGGGCGACTCACCTAATGTGCTCTCTGCATCACTCGATCTGACGGAGAGAAAAGGTATCATTATCTGAGTGAGTTGCCACTTGACTGAACTGGAAACAGGCTGAGACTTGCCCAAGAACACACAGCTTTGTGAATGGGAAGCCGGAATGTCCACGCTCCCAACCCCAAAGCTATGCTGACTCTAAGGAGGGCGGGAGGGAGTTGCCTGGGCTGAGAAGGACAGGTGCACACTCTGCCAGGACCTACTGGGACCTCTGGCCCCGGGGCCTATCTTCCCAGCCAGGACCAAGAATGCTTCTGGCATAGAAGGAGAATGGAGGAAGCTGGTTGCCTAGGGCTGGAGGGATGCGGAGGAGGGTCAGTGTTTTGTGGGCACTGAATTTCAATGTTGCAAGATGAAAAAGTCCTAGAGATCTGTTGCGCAATAAAATAATGTGAATATACGAACACTACTGACCTGCACACTTAAAATGCTTAATAGGGGGGCACCTGGGTGGCTCAGTCGTTGGGCGTCTGCCTTCGGCTCAGGTCATGGTCCCGGGGTCCTGGGATCGAGCCCCGCATCGGGCTCCCCGCTCGGCGGGAAGCCTGCCTCTCCCCCCCCACTCCCCCTGCCTGTGCTCCTCTCTCAATGTGTCTCTCTCTGTCAAATAAATAAATAAAATCTTAAAAAAAAAAAAAAGATTAAAAAAAAATGCTTAATAGGCTCAATTTTATGTTATGTGTTTTTTGTACAACAATAAAAAAACAAGTGTGGAAAAAAAGGTTACTTGTGGAACTCTGAATGCTTCTGGCTTCTGACCTGGCCTCTTCTCCCTGAAGTTGGGCAACGGCCAGCATGCTCCTCCACCTGGCCCCCCCAGCCAGCGCCCTGCGGCGTGTCTAGGCACTGCGGGAAGGCGCTGAGCTCCCGGGGCTGTCTCCAAGTCACTGGCAAGGGTCTTCTGGAGCCAGAGAGAAACAGGCAATCTGGGGGAGCTCGGACCAGCCTGGGGGCAGGAAAATGGGAAATGTGTGCCTCAGGGAGGTTTTCTTATATTTTATTTAATTTCTTTTTTGAAAAGACTACATAGGTAGTAGGACAAACTTCAAAGGGTACAGGAAAAAAGGTACAAAAAATTATGCAGTGAAAATTGTTTCCTTTCTACCCCTCTCCGCCCCACCCCTTCCCTGGGGCAGCCGCTCTGCTCTTACTACTTTCCTGTGTATCTTTTCAGAGACAGTTCATGCATCTGCAAGCATATCCATTTGCATTGTGTGCAATCTTCTTTTTTCTGCCACGAATAGCATATTAAGCATACTGTCCTGTACTTTGGTTTTCTCGCTTAACAACACATCTCGGAGATCATGTCCTATCAGTATATAGAGATGCCTGTCCATCCGCTTTAGAAGTGTGAGAGCATCCATTGTGTCCGGGAATCTTCCGTTGATGAATCTGGCCTCTCTGGGTGATCATATAGGTTGTTTCTGATAGGTGTGGTGATAATGCTGTTGAGGATCATCTCATCCATTCACCATTTCACGCACATTCAAGTACATCTGTAGGTTAATTCCCCACTGTGGAAATGCCGGGTCACAGAAGTGCTTCTAGCTGTGACGGCAATGGTCAGGTTGTCCTCCACAGGGGCGGTTCCCACTTGGGACGATTCCGGGCTCATCGCTGCCTCATCCACACTTAGTTGTTATTGTTGTTGTTTTTATTTTTTTATTTTTTTAATTTTTTTTTCTAAATTTATTTGAGAGAGAGAGAATGAGAGAAAGCACATGAGAGGGGGGAGGGTCAGAGGGAGAAGCAGACTCCCCGCTGAGCAGGGAGCCCGACGCGGGACTCGATCCCGGGACTCCAGGATCATGACCTGAGCCGAAGGTAGTCGCTTAACCAACTGAGCCACCCAGGCGCGCTATTGTTGTTGTTTTTAAAGATTCTATTTATTTATTTGAGAGAAAGAAAGAGAGAGGGAGAGAGAACTCGAGCAGGGCGAGGGGCAGAGGGAGAGGGAGAAGCAGGCTCCCCTGCTGAGCAGGGACCCTGATGCAGGACTCGATCCCGGGACCCCGGAGTCATGACCTGAGCCGAAGGCAGACGCTTAGCCGACTGAGCCACCCAAGTGCCCCTCAACACTTAGTTTTATAACATGTCTTAGTCTTTTCGGTTCCGATAGGAGACAGATGGCATTGTGTTGTTTTTACATTTCTCTCATTGTACTGAAGGTAAGAATCTTCTCGTGTGTTTAAGAGCTGATTTTTCAATTCCTTATCTGTGCCGCTTCTGTGTCCTCTGCCCATTTTGCCGGGGGTCGGTAGACTTCTCACGAGTCTGTAAGAGTGCTTATTGAACTACAGGAATATGCCGATGATTGGAGTGGATTTTTAGAGAAAGGGCCACAGAGCGCTGAGGTTCCAGGCCTGTGCCCCGCCCCTGATCCTCTGCTATGGGCTCACTGAGGAACTGGGTGAGGCCCTGAGCCGGGTTCACCTGGAGGGGAGTGCCTGGGATCGCTTTTCCTGGGGCAGGGCAGAAGCTTTAGGGGAGCCTTGAGATCTGAGGACAGGCAGAAGGGGCCTGGGTAGACTGAGTAGATCTGACCGCTGCTCTGGGCATTGTGTGTGGCCCAAGTCTGCAGAGAGCTGACGAGTAGGGGCAGCTTGTCCAATCTTTGGGTCCAGAGTATTCCTCAGCAGAAGCCCAGTGGTGCCTGGGCCCATTCCCAGCTGTGCGGAGGAAGCAGCGGACAGGGGTCTTTGGCATAGCCTTGCTAGAGGCCAAGCCCCAAACCAGCTCACCAGCCACCTGGCCTGCCAGTCTCAGAGCAGGACTGGCCTGGGCAGCAAGGAGTCTGGGATTCCATAGGGAAGCCAGACCCCTTTTCTGTGTTTCCCAAATAGCCAGCATGGAGGGAGGCCTGTGGCATCTGCTTGGAGGAAGGCAGGGGCATGGAAACAGAGGATCCTTGGTTGCGGGGATGAAGGAGAGACAAACGGCCCACAACCACCCCCCCCACTACCTCCCCGCCTTCTTGCTCAGCCCCCAGACTAGGGATTTCATAATGCTGAGAACCCTGGCAGAAGCAGCTTCCAGAACCTGCCTCAAATCCTGAAGCTAGGGCTGCTCAGTTGAACCATAGACCTGAGGCCTGGGCTCAGGGCTCCAGGCAGAGGCAACATTTTAGGTGCCTTGTCACCTGGCTGGAGAGTGAGGGCAGCTTGGGACTGGTACTCTTCTGGGGAGCACGGGCGTGGAGGGGGACAGGGAGTGCAGTGGCTCCTTCCCCAGTCAGCCAGTGAGGCCTGGGAGGGCCTGGGAAGGAACCAGAGTGTGGGAGTCAAGCCCTGGAGACAGGAAGCATGCTCCTCGCTGAAGTCCCGGGGAAAAGCCTCTGTTCCACCTGCGGAGAGTCTGACTCCGTAGCTGGTGCCCTGTGGCTGTGTATGGCTCAAGGAAGGCTGGTGGTCAGACTCCCTGGCCGGGGCAGAAGGCCGGAGTTACTCTGAGTCTTTCTTAGAATTCCCGTGTAGCTCTGGGCTTGTCTCTTGGGTTCTCTGCGACTCTCATTGGCACTGTCAAAACTTTCTGCAGTGATGGAAATGTTCTCTGGTGTTCTCTTACCAGCCACGTGTGCCTTCTGAGCACTTAAAATGGGACTGGCGTGACTGAGGAGGTGCATTTTCAATTATGTTTAATTTTAATCAATTTCAGTGTGAACAGCTGCGTGTGGTAAGTGGGCCCTGGGAGAGCGGGGAGGGGATGGCAACATCGGGTATAGAAGCACGTCCCCTGATGATTTCAATAAACCCCAGTCCTGTGATAAAGTCCATGAGAAAAAGGTCAGAAGCCGTCCACGGAAACAGCTTACTCCGTCCTTAGATTTTTGAGATGCATATTCGCATGTTAAATAAAAGCTCTGAGATGTTCTGCTCAGAAGAAACCCATTTGGCTTCATTTAAGCTCAAATTTTCCAATTGTATTTGACTACAGTACAGTTTTTTTGTGTTTTTTTTGACTACAGTACATTTTTATGTGGCACATCTATCGCTGTTCTGTGAACACCTTTGAAATGCTGGACAAGGGGGCGAGACTCCTGGAAGAACTAATGCCCCCAAATGGGGCTCCTCCTGGTTGCTGCAGCCTGTGTAAAGGAAACCCCAGAGCTCTTGGTTAAAACTGAAAGCATTGCCTTGGGTTGCCACAGCCCTTGCCGGCCTGGGCAGGAACCCAGCAGTGGCCTTGGGAGGCCCCATCACTACGTGCTCGGCCCTGGACAAGGCAGCGGTGGGGCCTGGAGCAGCTCCCTCCCACTGTGTCCACTGGCCTTAGAGCGTGGGGACAGGGGGCCTCTCTGTGGGGAACGCAGGGGCAGCGACCTCCCTTTCGTGTCTTTCAGTCCTACTGCTTTGACCGCGGTGCTTGGACTAGGAGAAGCTCTATCACTCTTCCAGGATCTGAGCCTGTGGGACCCTGTTAAGAAAAGAGGAGAGGTGGGCTAGCTATATGTTAGGTGCTCCCTCCCTTTGCCCAGGTAGGCAGTTTGGAGGTCGAGGCCCAGAGCAGGCTGGGACTTGCACCCTTGCATCTCTGCAGGGAGACTCCAAGAGCTCCTACTGGAAACGCTTCATGCTTGCTGGGATGAGGCGGTGCCCAGCCCCGGGGACTTCGTTTTTAAACCAAGTAGCTCGGGGGTGCCTGGGTGGCTCAGTTGTTGGGTGTCTGCCTTTGGCTCAGGTCAAACCAAGCAGCCTGGCAGCTGCAGCCCCACCCACAGCCCAACTGGCCCCCGTGGTCTGGGATCACACAGCCCCAGTCTATGGGGCACCTCAGTGGGCTTGGAGGAAAGTAACAGTTACTCTCAGATGAGGCAAGGGATTCCAGCTGGGGGAACGTTGAAAGGTTTCCCAGAATAGGGAATGGCCGGCAGGAGAGAGGGGCTGCTCTGGCCACTTTCTATCCATCTCTGGAGGGTTGTGGCCTGGCAGCCGTCTCTCGCTCAGGGGAAGACTGAGCAGAGGGAAGAGTGCCCTTGCCCCGACTCTACCTAGAACTCTGTGGGCGCAGGTCTCTGCCCTGCACAGAGGTCTATGCTCCCCTGCCCACCCCAGGGCTCTGAGCCTGATATGAGGGGCATTGATGGGAATTCTGGAATGAAGTCCCATCTGGGAGACCTGGTCAGGCCCTCTGGGCAATTACAGGCCTGTAGGGCTTGGGCTTATATGGGATTCTCAGCTCTGCCTTGTATAAGGCCAGCCTGGCCCAGCCCAGAGCCCCTTAGCCTGGCCCGTCTCCCCACGGACACACCGTGCTCACACGCAGAGCTACCACGGCATGGTTCTGTGGGTACTGCTCACAAGGGACCCACGTGGCCGTGCTGGGGACAGACACACATGCGTATGGGTCAGTCTTGTCCCGGTGTACATCTTCCTTACCGTACCTCAGTGCTCTCAACACGTGGAAGCCCCCACCTGATTAAGAATAGGCAGTGGTCTTACCCACCGCAGAGGGGAATGGCTTCCCCTAGGGCATTGGAAGCAGGTTGCATTCACATCTAACTTTGCAGGACCATATCCAGCTCTATCGAGTGAGGTGCACCTGTGGTCCGATGACTCACACACGCCTTCAGATTGCTAGTAGATATATGACTCAGGGTCGGGAATCCATAAATCACCTTTATTCCCTGGAAGGATGATTGCGCGTGAGCTTGAAAGAGGCCTTGGCTGCAGGTGGCTTTGGCAAGCCCGGGCCAAATCTGTGAACTAGGC